GTGTCTGAGACTGGATGTATACATCGTGGGGGACGGGCGGGAATGGAGGGATGATTAGTTTTTTCTCTGCAACCTGAGAAGGTGTTCTCATTCTCTCAGACCCCAAAATGTAGTAGCCTTTATCAGAGTGACCTATCTGAGACCAAATGTGAAAACAGAACTCCCTTCAAGGGATTTTTGAGGTTAGGTAAAATGCTGTCACTTTAACCGTTATTCATAAGAATGAAGCTCTCAGTCAATAATGTGGATTGACGACCCCTTGCATGAAGAACACTGTGCCAGCTGGACCCTGGAGAAAAGAAAGACCGAGTTCCCTCCCTACATCACACGGAATGAGATCCTATCGGGTGATAAAGAAGGCAGACACTGACCTTGAGAAGTTCTCTGCCTCAGGTGGGAGACAGGACAAATGTGGAGAAACAACTGACATAAACATCAATATATATGTTAGGCTAGCTACAGGCAACCGGATGTAATGGAATCAGTGCTGAACTTGGTTTCAAAGGAGTGAAGTGGAAATCTTGGCCCCATAACATTTTGTCAGTGTGACTGTGGGCAAATTGCTTCCCTCTACGATACCTGTTTTCCCCATCTGTAAATGAAAGTGGACTATTATATTGAGAGGGCAGCTGGGTGGCCCAGTGGATTGAGTGCTGGGCCTGGAGTCAGGGACACTCATCTTCCTGAGTTCAAATCTGGGCTCAGACACTAGCTTTGTGACCCTGGGCAAGTCACTTTAATCTGTTTGCCTCAGTTCCCTCATCTGTACAATGAGCTGGAGAGGGAAATGGCAAATTACTCCAGTATCTTTGCCAAGAAAACCTCAAATGGGGTCACAAAGAGTTGGACACAACTAAAAACAACTGAACAACAACAACAACAAATCATTCGATTAACAGAAATGAGCTTAACAGAATTCTAAATAAATTAATAATAATAAATAATAATAATAATAAAAATAATAAATCTCTGGAAGAAATTCTCATATTCCATCCAATCCTACCTTCTCTATGCCTTTGTTCTATTATCGCCTTCTTTTCTAGAATTCTCATTCTATCCCCCCCCCTTTTCTTTGTGTACAAATATGGTCAAGTTTCCCCTAATTAATATGATGCTGTTCGAAAAATAGCTAGGATACAGCTACTATGTGCAAAATATACAAAATACAAAATAAAAACCTTTCTTTGACCCTATAATGCTCTTAAGTTACTGCCTTATCTTCCTCTTACTGGCAAAGATCTAGAAAACATAGTCTATATTTTCTGCCTCCATTCTGCCTCCCTACTCACTCATGATTCAACCTCTTGTTATCTATCTTCTTGGCTACCACTGGACAGAAATGGTTTTTTTTTAAAAATTTTTTTATTAATTTATTTTGGTTTATCAGCAATCACTTCCATATGCTTTTGAGTTTAAAATTCTTCTCCCCTGCTCTCCCCAAGACGGTGCACAATCTGATATAGGCTATACATATACATTCCTATTAAACATATTTTCACATTAGTGATGTTGTAAGTCAAAACACCAATAGGAGGAACCACCAGAAAGAGGAAACAAAACTCAACAGAAGAGAAAAAAAATAGCAATTCAAATTCCATAGTTCTTTCTTTGGATGTGGATAGCATTTTCCATCATGATGAAACTTTTCTTTTGAAGGTCATCAATGCCTTCCTAATCACCAATCCAGTGTCATTCTCTTAGCCCTCATCTTTCTTGATTCCTCGACACCATTTGCCATGATTGTCTCCTCATGCCTGGCTTCTTGAAATTTGTTCCAATTTATACAACTTTCTGTCCCACACATGGCCCAAGAGAATGCTTTTCTCTTGAAAGAAGGAATGGTCGCCAGATTTCATTTACTTGTCTTGCCCCAGCTGCTTCTGCCAGCTGGAGTGCCTGGCACACCCACTGTATGTATTATGGTTAAACTTTAGCAACTGGCTAATGTCTGATAATAATTAGTGTTTTGCCCAGCATAAGAAACACCATTTTGATATTCTAATGAAGACAGCAGCCATCACTTAAATCAACAATGCCTTCAGTTGGAAATATAATGTAACAAAGACATAATCTACCAATTTGCTGAATATTGCCGAACATTAGTTGGGTGTGATTATACATCCCAACATTGGGTTGAGCTTAAATTGCTAAATTGGATTTGGTTGGGTTGCCCTTGGCTTACATGTTGTTGCCTCTTTTCAACCAGCCAGCTAAACAATAATAAATTAGATAAGTGATACAAGGTAGGTATATTTGGAAAGAGTTGAGAAAGGCAAGAGAGTGTAGATAGCTTAGTAATTCGGTAGTGGAGAAATAACTCTTAAGTGTCTGCTATCTTTAAGCTCCTAACTAAAAAAAAAATCAGGGATCATGTTATTTAATGTAATTTTTGGTTTGAAGATGATGCATCTTGAATAGTGTTTATATGACCTTATGAGATGGAGAGGCCAGCATGGTAGAGTGGAATTAAAGCTGGAATATAGGTCAGGAAGGAATAAAACAAGCATTTGTTGAATGTCTACTATATATTGGGCACTGCGCTAAGCATTTTACAAATATCATGTCATTTGAGATAATGAAAATAACAACCCTAGGAAGCAGGGAACTATTATTATCCCCATTTTACAGTCAAGGATACTGAAGCAGGCAGAGATTAAGTGACTTGCCCAGAGTCACAGATCTATTAAATGTCTGAGGCTGGATTTAACCAGGTCCAGTGCTCTATCCACTGTACCACCTTGATGCCCCAACAGATCTAGGTTTTAATTCTGGCTCTGTCACTAATTTGTTGAGTGATGTTAGGCAAAGTCACTTTTCCCTGGGCCTCAGTCTCCCTCTTTGAATGGGTAAGACCAAATGATTTCTAAGATCTCTTTTAGCTCTGACATTCTATGTTCCAAGGACCCTCTGGGCTGTAATATAATACAATATAATACATATATATATATATTTTTTTATTTTATTTTTTTTTGCAAGGCAATTGGGGTTAAGTGATTTGCTCAGAGTCACACAGCTAGTAAGTGTTATGTGTCTGAGGCTGGATTTGAACTCAGGTCCTCCTGACTCCAGGGCCAGTCCTCTATTCACTGTGCCACCTAGCTGCCCATCTAGTAATTTTTTTTGGCTTTTTTTTTTTGGTGAAGCAGTTGGGGTTAAGTGACTTGCCCAAGGTCACACAGTTAGTAAGTATCAAGCATGTGAAGCTGGATTTCAACTCAGGTCCTCCTGACTCCAAGGCCAGAGCTCTATCCACTGCGCCTCCTAGCTGCTCCCCCATCTAATAACTTTTAAATCTAACATTCTAAGTTGCTTAGAAGATTGGCGAAAAAAAGAATTATCACAGATATACATTTAGAAGTGTAGATGTAAATTTAGAAGAGACTAGTTGGAGATGTTAGATGACCTCTGTTTTAGAGCTAGCCCTACAGTAGGAATACTATCTGAGGTAGATAGGGTCAGGCAATCAGATGGTTGGGGTTTGGGTTCTGAAAGGGCTTGGATTTGACAGTTTTGAGTAAGACACAAAACTACTCAGCAACGATCACCATCACAACCTATATGACTTTGTTTGTCCTTCATTCTTCAAGAGGACCAATGACATCAGGAGGATGATGTCTTGACTTGCAAGTGTATTGGATTTAAGTGAGGCAGGGCTGTGCAAAGTCATCAGCTCTACTCTTTCCTCCAGAGTCATTGGAGTCCAGTGGTAGAATAAAAATCAAGATGACTGGAGATGGCCCCAGATGCAATGGGAAACCTTGGTCTTTTTAAATTAAGGTCTTTCCCAGGTCTCAGTTTGTCTGAGGCAATACCCATTCAGTGATTTAAGGCTAGGTAAGAAATGAGGCAAAAAAAAAAAAAATCAACCAGGGAGGCAAAGACCTTTCTGGCCAAAACAAACAATTGCTGTTTACATTCACTCTGAGCCATCAAAACCCAAACAACAACCAAGTGAGGCTTGGTCTGGGACCCATTATTGGCCAATCAGTGAGAACCAGAGTGATTTGGCATAGTCATGTAGCACCATTTGAATCCCAATGGAATTTATCAAAGCCTGATTTTCCAGAGCTCTATTTCAAGAAATCATAAATGAAACTACATGGGACAGAAGATATTTATTTATATGACCTTGAACACTTTGTTTATATGGACCTCAGTTTTCTTATCTATAAAACAAAGAGATTAGGTTAGAAAGTCTTTTCCAGCTAGGGATGTGCTGGTAAATGTTTAGCAACTAACTCTCTGAAAAGCTAGACACACTTTAAAATTTGATTTGTATTATTAATATTTTCTGTATCACTTTCTTATGTCTAGACAATTAACCACAACAACAAAAAACAAGCTCTGCTTTGAAGCCTGAGGTATAAATGCTCACACTGAAAATTTAGCAAACAATAAATAGGCTTTTGAGCCAGAATATTGGTTACTAGCCCTCAGTCCCATGAGATTACTTTTATTTTTATTGGAAAGTTAGCATTTCCCATTAAATCTGTGGTTTGTAAAAACTTTCTACATCTGTAAGTGTGGTGCTACTGCATTTATGGAGGAATCTTTTGTTCCCCTAGTAGAATGTAACTGTAATTTTTTATAATGGAAGTCAATGAGCAAATAAAATTTACTTAAATTAAATTTACAGTACTCTGGAATGCATTTGTTCTGCTAACGAGAGGATAACTCTTTCAAAAACCACCTAGAAACCTTTTTTTGTCCTCTTCTTTCTCCTCACAAACAAATTTATTGAGGTAGAAAAAGATCCCTCTCACATCACCTCCCAGAAATGGAGGCACCCATTTGCTTATAAATTTCATTGAAATTTTCTTTTATTTTAGTATATTTTATTTTCTGTATTTTTTAAAGCCCCCTTAAATACAGACATTTATTCAATTCAGAAAGGTGACTTACAATTCTGGAAAATCAAGCTGCAACAGAAATATAAGTTGTTGACATATACTTCAGTCAAAGACAAGGGAGCAAAGTTCTGGCTGAAAGAAACAACCTACCTTTGGCACAAACACGAGGCAGAGTGTGATGGTGCTGCAGAATATTATGACCAATGCTACAATACAGAATTGCACATTCGGCTGGTCTCTGGTGAGGAATGAGACTGCCGCCCCAATGATACACATGATCCCCACATTGTACACACTCATTCCGATGTATTTGCTGTCGTTTAAAGCTGGAATGCTCACGTTGCGAGTCTCCCAAGCTAGGAAACAACCGAACAGCTGAAACAGGAAATAGAAAGGGAAGATTATTATTGCTATTATTGCTCAGCTAGCGTGTGTGTGTTTCTCAGTTGCTTTCGTATCTACTGTGTATGATTGAGGGATGGAAGGGGAGGAAAACTGAGGATGTTCTGGAAGTTTTGCCCCTGATACAGTCTTGCGAATGTCAACGCATCTAATGGCCTTTGAGATAAATCCGGTTTGGGAAGTCTATCCTGTACTAGGTCCTGGTGCTCCTTCTGATGAGTTTCAACCTCAGAATGGAGAATAAACAATTCTTACTGGAGCACAGAAGCACAGAATTTCAGAGTTAGAAGGGACCTTAAAGGCTATCTAGTCTAATCCATACCTGAAAAAGAATCCCAATTGCAACATGTAACTCCAGGCTCTACTTGAAGACCAACAATGAAGGAGGATCCATTATTTCTGGAGGCAGTCCATTCTATTTTTGAACAACTCAAATTATTGGAAGTTGTTCCTGACATTAAGCCTAATCTTCAATTATCTATTTATTTATTCATTTATTTGCTTATTTATTCATCCATTGTATTTATTTATTCGTTCATTCATCTGTTCATGAACTAATGCATCTGTTTATTTATTTAGCTATTTAACTATTAATTTGTTTGCTTATTCATTCATTCATTTATCTATCTATGCATTCATTCATTCATTCATCCATTTATTTATTTATTTGTTGGGTGACTTCAACTCACTGCCTCTAGCTCTGTCTTCTGGGGCCAAACAGAACAAATTTAATCCCTCTTACCCACTACAGCCTTTAAACAAGATTCTTGAACAAAATGGATGGAGGGAGGAAGGGAAGCAGGAGATCAGTTTTACATAAGAGTCCCTCATTTAAATAAATGTTTAATTTATATTATTATCATATTATATTATTATATATTATATCATATTATTAAACAAATAAATAAAGGTTTATAAAGTAGTATGGTACAACACCTCTCTGAGGTAAATCATGCATTATTCCTATTTTACAGATTAGGAAGTTGAGGGCTAGAGAAGTGACATTACTTGACCAAGATCACACAGCTATTATTGTTCAGTTGTTTTTAGTTGTGTCCAACTCTTTGTGATCCTTTTTTGGGTTTTCTTGGCAAAGATACTAGGATGATTTGCCATTTTCTTCTCCAGTTCATTTTACAGATGAAGAAACTGAGACAAACAGGGTTAAGAGACTTGCTCAGGGCCACATAGCTAGTAAGTGTCAGGCCACATTTGAACTCAGGTCTTCCTCATTCCAGGGCTGGCACTCAATGAGTCACCTACACAGCTAGTTAAATGGGTAAGTGGAGATGTCAACTCAGGTCTTTTGATTCCCAGAACATTGCTGATCCCACTATACTCCCTGCCTCTAATATCAATATCTTGGGTATAGGGCAAAGATGAGGGATGGTGGCTGTAAGAAGTCCAGGTTTCATGGTATTAATTGCTTAGGGACTTTGTTAAAGGTCAGTTTTCAAAGAAAAACTCAAACATAGCCTATTATGTTACCTAAGAAATGAAATGAAACGGAAACAATTTAGTTGGGTTTTTTTAAAGAAGTATGATGAAATGGATATAGCGCCAGTTTTGACATAGGCTGACTGTGGGACCCTGGGAAAGTCCCTTAACCTCTTGGTGGTCTAGGCAATTCTCTATTCCTAGAAGTTGCAGATGAGGTGCTGACTTGCTTTGGGAAAGGTTTGATAATGGTTTTGATTTCAAATTCTTTTATAAAGTTTTTTTCATTTGGGAATCTGAACAGGTTTTCTAGAGTACAAATTAAATCATAGTCAATTATGTTTATATCTTTCAAATGTATTTTTAGTGGAATTTAGAATTTTAGAATTTTTAGTAGAGTTTAAAGCCTTGGCATAAAATCAAATATTTTCATGAAAATGTTTTAAAATGTTAATGCTCTGTCAGTTACAACACATGCAGATGTCCTTATATCTTATGGGTCTTAATGTGTGTGGACTGGTTACATTCATTCACCTTGAATTATTAATAAATAAAGTTAATTTCTGTTTCATACATATGCATTATATATATTATATATACATGTATTTATAGTGCTTCTTTGGGTTACTTCCTTCCCCCACCTTGCACTCACAGGTTGGGTTCCCTATGAGATTATTCTAGGTTCAAAGTAATTTGTGGGTCTGTACTCTTAAAATTCTGGTTCACCATCCCTGACTGATGTGTTTACCTTTTGACAGTTAGCCAGAAGACACAAGTAGCTCAAAGTAGAGCCATTTACTGAAACTGTATGGTAAGAAAAATAGTAACAAAACATCTCCCCATAAAACATGGGGTACATTCTTCCACAAATGTTCACATCAGCAAGGGAAAGATCAGAATCTCAGAGAGTTTCCAAGTGGAGAGGAACACCTGTAGGGAATACATATGGGCAAGGCAGCTTATACCGCTGACATCCCTAGATGTCTTCTTGTGATGTCTTTGTGCTGCTTTGATGAGATGTGGCCTCTCTGGTGAGTGAATCACTTTGCTGGCCTCCCTGGGCACAGATCTGGGGGGTTTATGGTTCTGATGCTTATTTTTGGTCTTCAGCTTTGGGCTCAGCTGAAATCTGGGCCTAGCTGCTGCTATGCTCATTTGGAAAGAAATGTAACCCATGTGGGGGCCCAGTAGGGCTCTTGGCTCTGGAGCCTGCCATCTCTCAAGAAGGATGTGGCTTCAGGACTTGTATTCTCAACTCTTCTTAATGTCGTCATTCAATTCAGTGGTAAAGCTGGCCCCCTGCTCCACTGGACACTGCTATTGCTTCTACTATAAAACACCATTCCTTATGGGGAAGGAGAGGAGAGCTAAATCTCCTCCCCTATTTGCTTCATTCTCTAAGAGATACAAAGGAAAAAGTGAAGAGTGAAGCTTTTCTCAGAGCTGACCCTTGCTTGTCAAATGCCTCTGTGGGGTAGGTGGGGGGATTGATCCTTCAGCCACCCAATTATTAGAAATTCCCTGTGTTTTTTCAGTTGCTTTCATCAAATGGCCAGCCACCTATAAAATTATGAGGTTCACCTTTATAGTTTGTCTAGGTAGCTTCATTACAGTTTAGTGACTGGTTGTTTAAGAAAATTTTAAAAAATCTCCTTTATGCATAAAGGAACTCCTGAAATGCTTTGGTAAAAGCCTCTTTTAGCTTGTAGTTGTAAGCAGCTTAGACAGTGCTGTTTGAAGGAAACAGCACAATTAGGGTGGATTTATCCATCATGAGGCCAGTTACCTGCATTTCATCAGACTTTACAACAGAGATGGAGTATCAGAGTATATCAGAGTACACAGTCATTCCTGAATCATTACCAAGTTTCACAGGGACTAAAAGTGAATCTTGGCTAAAGGGAACCATAGTCACTCCCAGAGGGATGCTAAGAAGATCAGCCTAGTGTAAATAGTGGTCTCTATGGTGTGACAGAGATAAAGAGAGAATCAGTCCAGGATCATTAGTAAAAATGCTGTGAAATGGGTATGTAGATTCTAAGTCAATAATTCAGTCCAGGGCTCCATATTTAGGGACTGTTTCAGTGAGGTTAGGGGCCAAGACTGAAGGGAAATTGGAACACAGGGAATTGGAAATGAGAAAAAATGGAAATATGGGGGATATAGGTCTGAGTCTGCAAAATGTGGGTGTGGATTTGTCACTGGACCCGTGGGGATGAAGGGCCCTCAAAGTTCGGGTGGGGGCATTTAAGCTACCAAAACAGAAAGACCTAAGCTTTTGAGTTCAGACAAAATACCAACTCTATGTCACCACATTTTGTTTTCTTAAACTTTGGTAGAATCTCTCAGCTTTGGATTCTGAACAATATCTGTTTACCTGCCTATCTCAACCCTTGTATATAAATCCCCAACTCTTTCTGCCCTCTCTCCTCCACCCCTCCTTCCCCCCCTTTACCCTGGTAATAGACTCAGTTTAGTTCTGGGAATATTATCTGTTCCTATCCTCTTCCCCACCTGGGGATTTCCCCAATTGTTATGACTTGAACTCAAAGCTGTTCGCCATTCAGAAGGGTAACATTTCTTTTGGAATCCAGAAGGGCCTGATGGAGTTTTCTTCTTGTTTCTTGGTGGTATGGTTAGATTTTACAGGTTTTGTAGCTATCTGTGCCTTATCCCCTATCTGCAAGGGCTCAGCAGGTATCCAGTTACTGAGGGCCTTGGTTCTATGCAGAGTGGGTTGTAAAACTGCCCTCCCAGCTTCTAACGCCTCCAAAGTGGTGGTTAACTATAGGGACTGTGGTTCAGAAAGTAAGTACATATAGGGAACAACAGAGAGTGGAGTCTAATTCAGAAAAAAAGGTTTCTTCTGGGTGTAGATATGCATAAAGCTGTTGAAGAAAAAATTTCTTGGTGGTTAATAAGAAAAGCCAATTGTACTGTTGTTGAGAAATAGAAAACTTGAGGTTGTTCTAGGGTAAAAGTTCTCAACCAAGGGTTCATGGACACCTCATCCTGACAGATTTCAGGGGGTCTTTGAATTTGTTTTTTAAAATATTTTAATAACTATATTTCAATATGATTGGCTTCATTTGTAATCTGATGTTTTATTTTATGCATTGAAAAACAGTATTCTGACAATGGGTCCGTGGGCTTCACCAGATTGCTAGAGGGATCCATAACACAAAATAGATTTAAGAAACTGAGCTCTAGGACTCCAGTTTTCCATACATTGGGGGTGCGAAGTGGTGTATTTTAACCTGTAAGGTTGCTAATAGGGTAGAAAATAAGAACCATGGCCCAGAGCAATATACTCAGGCCTGAGGAGATGGAAGATCCATTGCAGGAACAGGGAGGGCATCTCTAATTACAGTGAGAGTTCTGAGCAAGGAAGAAATATGCCATTCTAGGGAGGATGCCTAATATGGGAGCAAATTGGTTATAAAATCCATGGAAGTAGGCTGTTCAGGGCTATGTATGACAAGGCTCTTGGGGGTGTCTTTATCAGCCTTTGTTCAGGCACAGGCTCCGTAGGTCTCTGCATGCTGCCATCGGGTCATACTCAATATTGGCAGCACTCCCAGTTTACAAATGTGCAGGGTTACCCTTATAACCTTACACTCTTCTGTTTTTTCATCCTCAAAGGGGTGGGTATAAATGTAAACAAATGTATAGTATCCCACTCATGATGAATTCTCCATTGATGGTGGTCAAAGACTTTTTAAAAGTCGCATTAATGCCTTTTGTCTTTACATCATGGCTGAGGATACTTGGTGAGGGGAGTTTATTTATTTATTTATTCTGGTGAAGGGAGTTTATAAAAAAATTATTCATTTTTGTTCTGAAGTTGAAAAATACCAAATAAAATGGGACCTTTTAAATTACATAGTAGAACTGGAAAAAAAAAGATTGTACACATAATTGCAACTTTCTTATTTATGGCTTGCTTTTCTTAAAAAAGTACTGTAATAAATATATAACAAATACAAAATTATACTGTATTAAATTAATGTATATGATATATTAATGTACATGATATAATGTATATGATATATTGAGACATAATATGTAATAAATGCAATGTGTCTTTCAAAGTTGTCTTGCTTGCGATAATTTCTGACTCTCTTTCTGTTCTGTTCTGTGCGTTAAAAAAATTCAATGACCTTTGGTTTCTTTTTGATTACCTTATCCTTATCCTCTTTCTCCTTCCCACTCACACCCAATTAAAAAAAAAATTATTATTACAAATAAATATGCATAGTCAAGAAACCAAATTCCCATGGTGGCCATGTCTGAAAATGTTTATATGTCTGTTTATATACTGCATCTTGGGTCCATCACTTTTCTGTAAGGAAGTAGGTAGCAAACCTCATCACTGGTTATCTAAATTGCTATTGAATCCAACTCCCTCATTTTGCATATGAGGAAACTGAGGCTCAGAAAAACTAAGTTATTTGCCCATGGTTATCTAGCTAGTAAATATTTGAGGTAGGATTTGAACTTAGGCCTTCCTGACTCCTCCCCTAGTGCTCTAACCCCTGCACCATCTAGCTCCTTGTTTCACTGTAAGTTTGTTATGATCTCAGCTGGAATAGTGTGGCTGCCAAGTTTTTTTTGCCTCAGAAATAGCAATAGAGAGGGTCTCCTCCTCCAGGGCTCCAAATTTAGGGTTTTAAGTGATAATGTCTGCCTTGCTATTCTTTCAACTCAGGTATATGGGACACAGAAATTGAATTGGACATGGACTAGCTCTCTCTGAATTTGTTGGTGATAACTTTTGATCTGAGTAAAGACAGCTTTGGTTTTGATGATGAAGTTGCACTTGGATGGCATATGGTGTTCCTTCTGGCCAATGGCACCAGGCTTAGAATGTCACCTTTATTGCTAGTAGCTCCTCCTAGAGTGGCAGGAGAGGTAAGTATCATCTGTCTCCCCAGGTCCATGAATGGTTTGGTAATTTCCTGGTGAATTTTTCAAGCTGGCCAGCAAGGTGTTGCCTGTAGTCAGGAGGGGCATGGCCCAGGAGATAGCCTAATCCCTAGCTTTAGATTTTAGGGAGCCTACTGGCCTGGTAGGAGGGAAAGTCCTGATATAATTGGGCCAGAAAGCTTACCATTTACCTGTAAATTTTTTATTTTGGGAGGGGGCGACAAGGGAGTGTCTCAATGACTAGTATAAAGGTAGTAGCCTCTGGCTCAGCTATTGTTTAAACCACTGATTCTCCTCCTCCAGTCATCGCTTCCTTCCAGGCTTGGAGCCTCTGGCCGGATGGGCAGCCGGAGAAGCTACTGCTCAGGACAGCAGTGGAAGCTCCCTCCTTGTCCCCAACCTCTTCCATCTCTGTAGGAGTGGGTGGTGGTATTTATGGCATTCTGAGGCGTCAGAATCTGCAATAGTCTCTGAGCAATTACAACAGGCCACAGGTACTAAGTTAAAACTTTGGTCAAAGGGTGATCAATAATAGCTGAGTGTACCTGCCTCACATGGAGGTAAGCTTTAAAAACCTTTAGAGTTCTTTAGCTTCAGAGGTTTTTAAGGTTGTAAATTTTGTCAAATATGAAGCCTTGTAAAAATGTAGGTTAATTTATTGGCAATTGGGGTTAAGTGACTTGCCCAGGGTCACATCGCTAGCGAGTGTCAAGTGTTTGGTCTGAGGCCAGATTTGAACTCAGGTCCTCCTGATTTCAGGGCTGGTGCTCTATTCACTGCACCACCTAGTTGCCCCCTATGTAGGTTAATTTAAAGAATGACTAATTGTCCCTTTCTTTCAGAAACAAAAGTAGGATCGGTCTGGGGGCCTTACCAACAAGCCCATGGAATGGGTATGCAGTCCGTCAATAGGCCGTCCAGGGGCTGATATTTGGGGAGTCTTTCTAGAGGACTAGGAGCTTGAGAAACAGGGAATAAGGGAAATGAGGAACATAGACCACTGGGAACTTGAACCTTGAAGACCACAAAATTTGCTTCTTCATTGAAAAATAGGCTCTGTTATTATTCTCCATGGCAGGAGTGCTTGCATCTCCTCCACGTGAACTTGGGAGCATGGCCATGGGCAAGCTCTGGTTCAAAGTCCTCGGTTTGATGTTAGCTGGCTTTTGAGTGCTGTTAACAGTCACTGATGTCTTGGCCAGAGTATAGTCTCTACCCTGATGAGCTGCTCTGGAGGTGCCATTGGCCACTGGACCTCAATAGTTTAAGGATTAATCTAGCTAAAGAGCTGTTAACAGCGATGAATCAGCTAACTGACATTTCAACGGGCTATACAGTAACAGGTGATACTTCTGACATAGAATGTGGCTGACATTGACTCTAAAACCCACTGAGCCTCTCTCTCCTCTCTGTGTCTGTGTCTGTCTCTATCTCTGTCTCTCATCTCTCTCTCCTCTTCTCTTTTTCCTCTCACCTCTCTCTTTCCTCTTTCTCTCCTCTTTCATTTCCCTCTCCTCCCTCTTTCTCTCCTCCCTTTCTTCCTCTCCCTCTCCTCTCTCTCCTTCATCTCTTTCTCATTCTTCTCTTTTTTTCTCTCACCTCTCTTTTTCTCTTCTCTTTCTCTTTCTTGCTCTCTCCTCTTTCTTTCTTCTTTTTCTCCTTTCTCATTTCCCTCTCCCCTCTCTCTCATCTCCCTTTCTTCCTCTGCCTCTCCTCTCTCTTTCGCTTCTCTTTGTCTTTCTCTGTCAGTCTCTCTCCCTCTGTCTCCTTTTTCTTTCTTCCTTTGTCTATATGGGTAACTTTCTCTTTGCTTGTCTCCTTCATTTCTAGTTCCTTTCTTCTCTCTCTCTCTCTCTCTCTCTCTCTCTCTCTCTCTCTCTCTCTCT